CCCTCTCCCCAGGCCACGTGAGGCTCTCCAGCCTCCTCCTTTCTATCATTGCCAGCAGTGAGACCCAGACTTGTGCCTCCCAAGGACCTCCCAGGGACGTGGAAAGAACCATACCCTGCTTCCTCTCTTCCAGGGAGGCTCTCCCTCCCCTTTTTGTGTCCCTGCCTGTCGCAGGGAAAGAGTAGAGAAAGGAAGGAGGACCAGAGAGCGGATGCCCTAGGCCTGACCTGGCCATGCTCAGATTCTGGAGCAAGCCAGGCATCCTGCCCAGCCCTGGCTCCCTGAGAGCCTGCAGTGGACCATGTGTCCTTTACCAGCCCCAAGCTCCTCCTTTTTGTGGGGACAGACGCTGTGTGGACTTGGAGATGTGCCTTCCGGGAGCAGAAGGCCACAGTGGACTCTGTTTGGGTTTCTGTATTCTGCCCTTTAAGCAGAAAGTCGTGGAGAACGGGAAGTGCAGGTGGGGCCTTCCTGTCCCGGGAAGCCAGCCTCCTCTCCTCCAGGCTGACTTGGCATTGGCTCCTCCACAGCAGAAATTGTAGGCAAGGACTGGAGCACTCCATATCAGCTCTCCAGGTCCTACCAAGGCTCCAACTCCACAGTCCCAGCTCAAATGGCACAGGCCTGAAGGAGCCAATAGCATAACCCTGACCAAGCCAAGGGGCTCCAGCCCACAGAGCATCTGCCCCTCTACTCCAACAGGGTCCTTTTGAACAGCAACACAGCAGCTAGAGGAGGCTGGGCAGCAGCCCGCAGAGCCTCTCCAAGCACATGTCCCAGGACTGCATTACCCATGCAGACTTGGACTTTGAGGACTCATGAACAAGTCTTCTGAACTTCTTGGGCCCATCTTCAGCACCCTCTGGGGGGGCCCAACAGGGGAAACTGGATGTCAATAGTAAAAGGCACAGAGCATCTGGGAGACCCAGATCCAAACTGACTCTCTGAGGAGGGCTTTGTGTAGATTGGGAGCAGTGTGCAGGCTCCCAAGCTACCCTGTGGGGTGGATGCAAATCTTGATGACCATTAAGCAGGTCTTTGTGGGAGGCCAGAGTGCCCTGTCATGGCCTGGAACAGGGGGATGGGCCTGTCTGGATGCCACCTTAGGCAGCAGGCAGCCCAATGCGTGGCTGATGGAGAGGGAAGACAGTGGGAAAGGGGAGGACAATGGGGGAGGCCAGGGAGTACCAGAAGAGGGCAAGACGGTGGGCAAAGACATGGAGGGCGTGGAACAGGGCACTCCTGTGGGTGGGGGTGGGAAATGCATCTTGGGATTTAGAAAATTACTATGTTGTCCAGCCCTTCCCACCCTTACCTTCTTGCTGCTTCAGGGCTCTGGACCAAGCCAACTCCAGGGCAGGTGACACCTTGCACAGCTGAGGGAGGCATGGAGACTCCTCCACCCATCCTCCAGCTCGAGGTCCCCTGCTTCCCCCAGTTGGGGGTACTAACTAGCTGTGGGAGGCTGGGCTAGAACTGCCTCAGCCCTGTGCTCTCCCCATGCAATGAGGCCAAGACAATACAGCCCACAGCACCTGGACATCTTTCTCGTGCCCGTCACTAGTCCTTAGCAATCAGGGGACTTGGCTCTACCACTGAGCTGTAGGATGCTGGCCAGGTGTCTCTTCCCTGGGCCTCTGCTCCCCAAACCTGCGCATCCCCAGCATTTTTCTAGCCACAACCATAGGCAAACAAGAAACCCCAATATGTGGGCTCTAGGGCAGCCAAGGTACAGGGAACTAGGCTGTCGAAGTGGCCAGGACCCTTGGGAGAGGTCCCACCTTCAAGACCCAACTGTTGACTCAATAGCCAAACCAGAAAAGTGAATCCCCAGCTCTCATCTTTAGTCCCTTTTTTAGCCCACAAAGTCACAAGCTTGACAGCAAACAGCCCATTTTGAACCCTTGCTGTATTGCTGGGTGGCCGTGTGACTCTGGATAAATCACTCACCCTCTTTGAACCTCAGGTTCTCCATCTGTAAACCTGGGATGATAGGAACATCCAGCATGGTTGTGAAGAAGACATGAGGTGACCTCTGAGGAGAGCTGGTCACCATGCCCTTCCAATAGCAGCCTCTTCATAAGGGGCCCGTTTTCCTTTCCTCTTTCCTCTATGAGACTCTTTTCTCTCCTGCACTGCACTGTTTCTAGGTGGTAAGGAATCCTCTGGGTACACTGGTTTCCAGCTCAGCACTGGCTGCTCCTGCCAGGGGGCAATGCTTACCCCAGAGCAAAGAGAAACTTGTGGGCAGCAAGGGACACATTTCTGGCCAGCTGGTAGCCTTTCTGGGCACCTCCCAAGTCACACCCTGTACTTGACAGTCCTTACGCACAAGGCTGATTCTGGAATCTGTGAAAAGATTTGCTGCTCCAGTTTTGCAAAAATAGTAGAGCCTCACTTGGAGAGCAAGGGAAGAGGGCAGCCAGATGTTGTCCCCAGGAACTGCAAGGCCCCTCGCCCAGCTCCCTGCCTACCAGCACAGCCATTCTGCTCCCTTCCCTCCCCTCCCCCATCCCAGAACATCTGGTTCCAATCTCCTCCAGATACTGGGGCCACACCCTTTTATGGCCAGTCACCTCAGCTTAGCTTCCGGAAGGCCTCTTCCATTTTGGGGAATGGGCCCTCTTCATCCCTTTCCTCAGGACCCCAGCTACCTCTTTGCCTAATGTGGAGAAGACCAGACAAAGCTCTAGGGTGCTTGGAGCTGGCCCCTCTCCCTCCTCTGCCCTATGGGATGAGGGGCACCACCTATCCAGGACAGAAAGGAGAGATGCTGGCCTGGGAGGAACAAGTGGGCAGGGGAGTGTGAACGTGTGTCAGAGCAGGGAGATGTGTGTGTCTTGGGAGCACGTGTGAAAGCATGTGCTTGTGTTGGGTGTTGGGTGTGCTTGTGTGTTTGTGCCTGCATAGCAGGACACCCCACTGAGAACCCCAAGCCTCACCTCTTGACTGCCTTGTTTTTCCTTGCTGCTGTTACTAGCAGCAAAGATAACTCAAGGGCCCCTCCCTCGGCTGGACTGTAGCTGCTGAGGTCCAGAACTCTTTCACCTGGAGCTCTCTGAGGTCCCCTAAGCTTTCTCCAAGCCGGGACAGGGAGGATGCATGTATGAGAGCATGTGCCTCCAACAGGGACCTCTCTTTCCATTGGGTCAGGTTAGCCTCCGGGCCAGAAATGACCTCTCAGTGGAGTCTGGCAGATGCCCTAACCCTGCTCCATCTGACAGGCACTTTAGGCAGTCCAAGGCTGGCTGTGAGCTGGGGAGTGGCCATCTAGACTGAGAAGGAGAAACAGGCCCTCCGGTGGAACCTGCATGAAGCCCCTGCCTCCGGTCACTGCATTTGTCCCCCAGTTACAGGACTCTGGGAGGCAGTCCCACTTTCTAAGAAATTCAAAAGGGCTGTCAAAAGGAAAGCTGAAACCTGCCTTTATGGAGGACTGAAAAGCCAGGCCTGCTCAGAGATAAGAACACACACATTTGAGTTGCTCCCAATCCTTTAAATCCAGCCTCCTTGGCATTTGTGACTCCACAGCACCCTCTGGCGTTATGCCGGAATTACACAGCCTTGGGGGAAGACATAAGGGCCACTGTGTCTGGGAAGGGCCCCGGCCTGGGTCTTATGGGACTGGGGATTTAGCTCAGCGGCATAAGTGCCTGCGTTGCAAGCAGGCAGTCGTGAGTTTGATCCCTGGTACCAATAAAAATGAAAAAGAGAGAAAAAAACAAAAACTACTGTCCAGGGTGATGTTATACACTAGGGGAGCCAAGCAGAGGGCAGTAAAATGGGGCTAGTTTTTCTGAATGAAACCCTGGATACTGCAGCTCCCTGGCATACAATGTGGGCAAACATTTTAACTTCTTTGTGCCTCTGTTAAGTGGAAATAATAGCGCCCCAGGACTTCATGCAGACTTACAGAACTGATGTACATGGAAAGTCGGCTCCATGCTACACACAGTAGGTCCTCCTCAAGTGGTCATCAGCCCTTTGGTTTTCCTGGCTGTACCAAGGAAATCTCATCCCAAGGCCTGAAGACACATGTGCACTCAGCCCTGATGCAGGCAGAGTAAGGTGCCTGTGACATTTGTGGAATATTTCCAGTCCAGCCGAGGACAAAATTTACTAAGTCCATAATAACAGACGCAGAGGTGATTCAGATCTGCAGATGATGAGCCCTGCTGGGGGAAGGGCCACCCTGGCTGGGACAGGGAAATCTGGTGGCATTTAGGGCCATAGCAGTGGCAAGGACTCAAGGGGGGCCCAGATTGCCACAGTCCTTCCCCAACAAGGGAAGCACAGAGCAGAGCAGATGACCTCCAGGTGCTTTCTGAGCTGGAGACGAGCTTTGTACTCTGATGCTGCTCCCAAATCGGGGTCTGGATATACCCTGGTGGGTGGCTTCATCATTCCATGGAGGGAGCTCCTCTGTGGATTATGTAACCTGCCCACCTGCCCCTCCCATTCTGGGCCCAAATAGAAGTTACTATGGGCGCAGTGTCTGTCTCCTCCCACCACAAATTCATTTGTTGAAACTTGAACTCCTGAGACGAGAGACAAGACGGTATTAGTGATTAGTATGCAAGGCCTTTGGGAGGCGATTAGGTCAGGAAGGTGGAGGCTTGTGAGTGGATTAGTGCCTTTACCAAACAGGCTGAATATTGGGTGTGGTGGCACACATCTGTAATCCCAGCTACTTCAGAGGCCAAGACAGGAGGATCAGAAATTTGAGGTCAGCCTGGACTACATAGTGAGAACTTACCTCAAAATAAAAATATGAAAAGAGCCAGAGAGGTGGACAGAGTGGGACAATGGAGCTGAGGAATCGTGTTGGCCCTTTCCACCATGAGAGGACACAAAGATAGCTCTTTACACCCCAGAAATCAGGCGAGCCCTCAGCAGACATCAAATCTGCTGGTGCCTTGAGTTTAGACCTCTGTGGTTCATAAGCCACCTGGTCTGTGGAATTTGGCATGGCAACCTGCATGGACTAAGACAGACAGGGCCTCAGGCCACGGGGTTTATTGATGTACATCGCAAGCACAGCATAGGTGGGCGTGCCCCTGCTCCGGGAGGACACTGGGCTGGAGAAGGACAGCAAACCCCCTACCCACAGCAAAGCCACCCATACAGGGTGGGGAGAGCCTGAGGACCCAAGTCCTGGCCTTTTCACAAATCTCTAGAGGCCCCAGGCCTCCCAACCATCCTCAGGGTCAGCACACTGTGCAGCACTGTTTCTGTCCCCGTACCCAGGGACAGCCTCATTGGCCTGCTAGCCCCTCTGTCTTTCATAACAGAAATCCAGTTGCTTGTCTGTCATCCCTGTCACTTCCGTGAAAATCACAGTGGGGTTCCCCTCTGCTGCTTCCACCAGCACCTCCCTGGGCAACCCTCCTGCTTTGCTTGTCTGGGGAAGGGGCTGGGGTGGGGTCACCCTCACCAGCCTCATGACCTATGTGACAGTAGGAATGAGGTGAAAACACAGAAAGCCCAGGGAGGGCTTCACCAAGCGTGTCCCAGGAGAGTGCCAGGAGGGCTGGTGGCCAGTGGGCAGGCATGGGGGCTGGAGTGGCCGAGAGCCCAGTCGGCTGACACAAGGTACAGAGCAGTCATGGCACCGTGGCAGAGCAGGGAGCAAAGCGCACAGCCAGGTGGGGTGCCAGGGCTCTGCAGGTAGCCTGCAGGTCCCTAGTTCCACATCTCTAGGTCCCATTGAGCAAGGTCCGGCTGAGGACAGGGTCTCAGGGGTCTCCTTCCCCCTCCTCGACCCCAGCAGCTGCTGTTCCAGACCTGTGTGCTCTCTGAGTTGTGGAAAGTTGTGCTGGGGAATATATCATCTCCAGACAGAAGAAACAAATGCCAGGCAGCCCAGGGCCACCAAGCCAGGAGAAGAAAAGGCTCCCTCTCTGGAGAGCAGGGGGGACATCTGGAGTGGACAGGTGGAGGAAGGGAAGGACAGCTCTCCCATGCAGGAAGAGGATTCTCATGGGCAAGGGGCAGCCAGGGCATGACAGCGGTGCGGGAGGCTATTTATAGAGGAGAGAGTCCTAGCCTGGAGTGGGAAGCCCCAGGCCCAGCTCAGCAGGGAGGGGGCTCTCTGCGGTGGCCCTGAGTGGGGTGGGTGGGGCTAAGGAGGCGACGCCCCACAGCTCTCTGCATCTCTCTGGAGGCAGCCAAGCTACACATGGGCTTTGGCCCTGAGGAACTTCCCCAGGAGAGCCTGGTGGGGGGGCAGGCAGGACTCTAGGAGATGAAGGCTTGGATAAGGCAAAGATTAGGAGAAGGAAAGCAGAGGAAAGGAAGGGGGAATTCTCCAGAAATCCAACCCACTCATGGACCTCCTGAGGCTGAGAAGCTTTTGCAAGTCCACCAGGCTTGGGGTGGGCCTTGCTTACCAAGAAGACCACCCTCGGTTGCTTCCAATGCCAAGGGGTGGGGGTGGGGTGGACGGATGGAACCTAGGGAGCAGGGGAGAGGGGAGAGAAAGCCAGCTCCCTGAACCTAAGCCGCCCTCCTGCCATCTCTCCGACCCCCAGCTCCCCAGGAGTCCCTAGCGGCCCACGCTGATGTTGCAGGTCTTGCAGCTGGGGTCTTTCTTGGCGTCGGCAGTGGACAGACTCATGAGCTGGTGCCCACTGATCTCCCCCAGGGTGCCCAGGGACAAGTCGACGGGTTCAGTGTAGATGATCTCCAGGATGAGGTCCTGGGCATGGCGGAAGACCAGCTCCCCGTCCTCCACGCTGCAGGTCAGGAACTTGTTGCAGGCAATGTCCAGGAGGGGCAGGCGGTCACGGCAGAAGCGGTCCCCCAGAGAGCCCTTAGGTGCCAACACCAGGATGGCATAGTGATAGGCCGTGTACATACAGTAGAAGTCTGCAAAGTAGAGGTTGGTGCTGGGGTTGAAGAGACGCTGGGCAGGGATCTGGAAGCGCCAGCGACCATAGGGCGAATCCTGGGGGGGCTGGCCCGTATTGAACTCGGTGTTGCAGCTGAAGAAGACCCCATGGAGCATGCCGCTGGTGGGGGAGCCGTGGCTGCCGCTGTTGTCCTTCAGGTAGGGTTGCAGCATGTTTCCACAGTGGGTCCTGCCCCCACAAGGGAAAATGTCCCACGTTAGCTGGGTTCAGCCTTGACCGCAGTGTGGGTGGTCAAGAAGTCCCGGATATAAGAGCAGAGGGAGGGCCTCGGAGAGGACCTCAAAGTGCCCTATCCTTCCTAAGACAGCGGATATAAGAGCAGAGGAAGGGCCTCGGAGAGGACCTCAAAGTGCCCGATCTTTCCTAAGACAGCCGAACCTGCCACTCCCTTCTTTAAAAGCCCTCTGGTAGGGCTTGATCCTGATTAGCAAGAGAGCGATAGCATCCTGTCTTTCTGGTCCAACTATCACTTTCCCCTCCTACCACCTAGCACCCCCACAAGTGACAGTCACAGCCACTCTTTCTTTTGTGCCTTCGCATCGATGTTCTCTCTGCCTGGCCTGCCCTCCCCAACTTGTCCTTCTGGTTTCACAAACTCCTAACCATCCTTCAGGGCCCAGCATAAGGGTTCCTCTTTTCTTCCAAGAACATGGAACACTTACAAATACCCACACACATACACACACACAGAATTGGCTGCCTGCTGAATAAAGGAGCCAGGGGCTGGGATTTAGCTCAGCGGCAAAAGTGCCTGCCTTGTAAGCAGGCAGTTGTGAGTTCGGTCCCCGGTACCGATAAAAAGCAAAAAGACAAAAAAAAAAAAAAAAAGTTACCTGAATAAAGGATCCTGAATTTTGCTCAAGCATTACACACACTTATGACATTAAATCCTTCCTCAGGTTCTTAAAATGGTAGCCAGTGCCTTAGTCTTTATGTCCTGGCCCCTCGTAAGGAGCAGGAAAACATGGGGACACTCCCTATCTCTTTCTTGGTGAGACGGGAGCCTAAATAGGACTCCCACCTTTGTTCTTCAATGCGTTAAAGATCCTGAAGCTGCCACTGTCCACCTCAGCTGTCTGTAATGATAAAGACAGTGACAGCTGCAGCTGGCTTGGCCTGGCCTAGAAGGACATGGGTGGGGAGCAATGGCACCAGACACAGGAGAGGGTCCTGGCTGTTCTGGGTGATGAGTGCCTCACTGGCCAACTGAGGTCCTCTGGAGCTTGGGACCTTTACCTATAGGCTGAAGTTATTGGATGGGATCATCCATTTTCAAACACTTTTGGACTGAAGAACCCTTTTTTTCCCCCGGGATGTATACCTAGATTGGTCACAGGCAAATAACATTGAGGCTGCTCTGGCTGAATGACACTCTGGCTATGGGTAGGTGGGAAGCACCACCTACCCCTATCCCGTGCCAATTTCCTCATCCCAGACTCTTAGCAGCACCCTAAGAGATTCTCTAAGATGCCTCAGCATCCAAGTTGAATGCCAGCTCACTGGGTGCTCCCTGGAACCCCTCATGCTCGAGACTCCTGCTCGAGACTTCCCCTCTTCACCTCCTCTGCCGTCCCAGGTCCTGAACTAGAGAGACAGCTGGCCCTGGTAGTAGATCTTGTGAAGAAACTCCCCAGGGGGAACAAACTGGGACCTTGTTCCTCTGGGTTTGTTAGATCTGTGCTCTACAAGGCGGCCCTGTCCTGGAGCCCTTGACCTCCCATGAACCGAATCCCAAAGCAGTGGTTGCTTCCTAGCCAGCCTGGAGGGATGAGGACAGAGGGACCCTGGAAGAAGACCTGGCAGTCAGTGAGAGTGGGGTGACTTGGGATGGCCAGGACAAGAGGAGAAAGAGCTGGGGGAGGAAGGAAAGGCTGCTACCTGGCATGCTGGAAGTATTCCTTGTGATGGTTGCGGTAGAAGACAGAGAAGCGGAGCATGCGGCCGGCGATCTGCTCAGCTTTCTCCTGCAGCTGGGCCAGGTGCTCCTTGGCATAATCTGCAAGAGTACAGGTGGGGTGAGGTGAGTTTGAACCACTGCAGGATCACAGCCTCATCCTCTTCCCTGACCCCTCCACACCCCCTGTTGTGCCTGCCAGCTAACCTCATCCTCTGGAGCAGCAGGGTGGCGCCACACAGCCGCAGGACACACTTGGAGTCAGATGGGAACAAGCCAGCTTGCATTGGCTGGGAACATGGAAAGCTGTGTGCTATCTGTGTTCCTTGCGACTGTGCTATCATTGCCAGAGGCTCATGGCTGCCCTGGGTCTACAAAGAGTAGTGAGCTGCCCTGTTACCATGCCAGTGCCCCAAGAGGCTGTCATCCCAGTGCATCTTCATATGAAAAGAGGACCAGAGGCCAAAGATGGACTTGAGAGGGGTGGATGCAGGGTCCTTTGGGAGGGCCTCCTCATATCCACCCATGTGGAAGAATCAGAGAACCGAGGCTGGCCCCACATTTGTGAATGTTAAGGCAGTGTGCACACTTGTCCTTCAGGGCTGGAGCACTGGTTCTTTACTTACTTGAGCTATTCCTGAGAAGTGGGGAAGACTGGTACCAGAGTCAGGAAACTGTATACCCAGAACTCCTCACCCTACCCTGAACCTGGGGCTCTGGAGTATAGGCAGGGCTACTGCTAGACTGGATGGCACATTGGTGCAAACAAGAAATAGGTACCCTTTCCTCATTGCAGTTGCATCCCTGGCTGGGGCACTTGGTTGGGAGAGAGGAGGGTAGACTGAACTATAGCCACCCTAGGTCCCAGTCTGAATTAAATGTTCATGGCATGTGCTGTTCTGGAGAAAACAAGAAACCCTCTCTACAAGGAGCAGGTGCACTCCTGAGTAAGGTATGTGGCAGCTCAAGGAGACTTGGGGCACAGATGCTGGCAAAGGATGGAGCCAGCAGCCTCCGAGGCCCTGGGGCAGAAAATGTTCCTTGCCCCTTCCTTCTGACAGGACAGCAATCTGGAACAGTTCTCAGGTGGACACTAAAGGACAGGATATTGTGGTGCAGGTCCCGGGTCAGCAGTGACCAAGCACACACAAGGTCAATGTGTGCCTGCTCGAATTTGTAAGGTAGGTTCTGCTGAGAGAGCTTGCAAAGCTGCTGCATAAGGAGCAGTTTTCAGAAAAATGTGATTGTCCCACTAGGGGTCCACTGATAAAGTGTTGATCAACCTTAAGGAAGAAGGAAATCCTGACACATGCTATGACACCCACATCTCAAGGACATTATGCTAAGAGAAATATACCAGTCACAAATAATTCTACTTAGAGGAAGCACCTAGAGTCACCAAAATCATAGAGATAGGAAGTAGAATGGTGTTTGCCAAGGTCTGGGGAAAGAGGTAAGAGGGAGTGGTTGTTTAATCAGTTTCAGTTTTGCACGATGAAAAGGCTCTGGAGACTGGTTACACAATGCTATGAATACACTTTATGCTACTGTGCCATCAGTAAAAATGGTCAAGACAGTCAGCTTTATGTAATGTGTTTTCACCATGTTTTTAAAAACATGCAGGACCTAAGCCTTTCAGAAAAGTACTTCCACCCCTTCACGGGGGTGGTGTTGCCCAACTGAGTAGTAATGTCCACACCTGTCCCGCCTTAGAAAAAGCCAGGCTGTTCCCTTCTGGCCCAAGTACAGTGCCCACGGTACAGCAGGTAACCATGAGTGTTGCCTCTCTTGGCCATAACTAAGCCAGATGTGCCAAGCAACCCAAGAGCCAGGCCTCACCCCCAGTGCAGAACTCCACGGTCTCACTCCAGCCAGACACCAGATACTCCCCGTCGCTCTGCTTCACAGCCGTCTGCACAGCCACGCTGTACTCTGTGCGTGGGCTCAGGAACCAGTGGCCTCTCACTGTCATGGGCAGTGGCACTGCCTTGGCCACAAGCTTGGTGGGGACATCCTGAGAAATGGGAGATGAGTGGAAAGTCCAGAGTTAATTTTGGGTTCACATCCAGTCTTGGAATTTTTCCAGAGTTCCCACTCCCCAAATCACCCCTTCCCTTTGCCGCCCCCAGAAGAGGATCAGTGTCTTGGGGACCCAATGTCTCCATGGCTTATCTACCATTTTCCTGCAGAAGCAAGCAGTGGCTTGGGACAGCCACATAGATCCTCCTCCTTCCCACGCCAATGCCTTATTCTTTCAGGAACTGAGGGGAGAGGCCACTTGGGAGAAGGCCCCCAAAGTTGAAGGCGGCAAGACCTCCATTTTTGAGGGAGACTTTGAGAGCTCTGCACACTGCAGAGCCGTCTCCACGGCAACAGCAAATGCTGAGAAGCTGAGGAGGAAGGGAAAATATGCCTTATTCTTTGGGGGGAGGGCCTGCTTCAAGGGGGTGGTGTTGAACATTCACATCACCGTGGCAACTGGCCTGCCAAAAGACACCCAGATCAGGGGAGTCAGTTCCAGGGAGGGGGGTGAGTAACCTGCACTGAGGCTGGCGTCCTGGGGGCCAGCTCTCCCTCCTTCCCCCCTGCCTGGAGAAGATGTAAGCTTCCTCCCACCTACCCCACAGTGGCTTTTCACCCAGGGAAGGGACATGCTTGTGAGGACTCGTCCACATTCCTTTCCTAGATCAGCAGCCAGTGGCCAGTGGGCAGCCAAGGGGCAGAGAGAGTGACAGGGCTTGAGGGGGAGCCTGGAGTCCCCGGCAAAAGGGGTCTGGCCAGTCACCCACCCAGTCAACAAGGCTGCTCTGAGGCCTGGCCTTTGTCAGAGCTTGAGATAGCATCTGTCGCCACGTGTGACATGTTGAGTCCACCCCTGCCTGGGCACTCAGCCCTGTCTGAAGGCCCAGTCATGGCGCAGATAACAGCACTCACGCTGTGTCAGGCTTCCTGCCAAACACCATGCACACATTACTCATGGACTCTTCTCAGCACCCCTCCGAGGGTGGCCGTGATTATTCCCTCCTCACCAGGGAAGGAACTGGAGCCAGGAGAGGTCATATTGCTTCCCCAAGATAACGCAGTTTGAAGAAGCTGGCTTCCAAACAGGCCTCTGATTCCACCGTGCTTTTCCCGAGGTCCGTTTTCCTGTCTCCATCCAGAACAGGGGCTGGGGAAAGGTGCCGCACACCTTCTACTCACCCGGTGCTTAAACTTGTTGGAGTTTTTGTTCTCTTTCTTGTTGAGGTCGATGAAGTAGTGAGTGACCCTCTCCAGGTCACTGTCCTCCATGGCCCAGGAGATACGGAAGGAGTCGCAGGTGATGTTGTTGATCTCGATGCTGTGGGGAGTGGACAGCAGCTCCATGCTGCCCTTGGGTTTGGCTCCTGTGGGAACTGAGTGTGAGGGGAAGGATCAGCAGGTCCCTCTCACTGTGGAGCTTTCTGGAATGTGCTGTGCCCACCATCTCTGGCGAGTCTGATCCTTCAGAACCCGGCAGATGCATCTAACTCAAAAATCTGATAGAAAAGATTGTATGGGGAAGGCCAGAGTTGAAGGTCCCAAGGTGGGGCGGGTGGCCCCTGGGGGGCTCTCTGCTGTCCGGAGCAGACGGCACCTGACAGGTGGCAGAGGCAGTGGGAACGCTGCAAATGCTGGGCAGGGACAGATTTGCAGCAGATGGAGCCTAGGAGGGAGGGGGCTCTCAGCCAGCAGGCGTGAAAAGAGAAAGGCTGGGGGTGGAGAGAATGGGTAAGAGGTGGAGAGGAGGCAGGAAGCACCTGCTGGGGGGCTGAGGGCTAGCACTGAGGCAGGTGGCAGGTGCTGGCAGCCAAGCATCCAAGGTGCCAAGACCTTTGGGCTCAAGCCTCTCTCCCATCCTGGGGGTGACTCAGTGAAGGTCCCCGTGGTGCAGGGCTAGGAGGATAAGTGCCAGGTAGGTGCCTGTGGATATATTTGTAGTGGACGGGGGCGGCGTGGGCCACAGCCTGCTCCAAGCTCTCTTTCCACCTATAACTATTTTGACAATCCCTGTTTCTCTTTTGGCTGGTCTTTATTTGGCTTTGTAAAATAATTCATCTCATTTCCACATTGATGTCTACTGGGGACCCAAAGGTATGAATAATTTCACAAACATTACCGCACACAAGTCTCATAATAGGTTCGCACTATTATTATCCCCGTTTTACAGATAAGGTAACTGTGTCAGGGGCGCCTAAGGCTACACAGTCAACAAATGAAGTACACTCTGGAGACCAAGCACTTTATCTGTAAGCTTGTGTGTGTGTGCGTGTGCATGCACATATGTGCATGTGTGTGACATGCATGATACAAGGCCCTATACAGGGCACTCATGTTTCTGGCTGTTTATGTTTCCTCCTTTTGTTGGTACCTTTCCTTTTACCTTCCTGTCGCTTCCTTCAGCTCTACCTGACATCTGGGACCCTTCAGGTGTGGAAGGACTACATCACCGTCCCTCTCACCTGTCCCTTAGCTGGGAAGAGCCACCTGGCCTCACTGATGGCCTGACCCCCCCCCCTCAGGGTGGGCAGGAGAGGCACAGACGTGGGTGGGTTTTCTCCAAGGCATCTAGTCTCCTATTTTCTTGATTTTTCCCTCCAGCTCAGCACCCAGCCCAGCTCGGTGCCACCTCCTTCTCTCCTCCCCTTACCCAGGAGCTAAGAGTGAGGGCGACCTGTGCCTTTGAAAACAGGTACTTTATTTATAGCTTCCTGAAGATCCAGCCCACACTTCCCTGTCAGTTAAGCCTGGCACCTCTAGGTTAACCTGTGGGTTGCCTGGGTGGCAGGTCCTGGGGGAGTCTATGGATGACGGCTCTTACCTGCCCCTGGTATCCCCTAAGTCCTGCTTTTTCTTAGCCTCCTATGCTACAGTCAGATGCCAGTGGCTTCATGCATGGACTCCTATGTTAAGCAAGCATACTTATGGGAGTGCCACCAAGTCCACCCCAAAGTAAAACAGATGGGCTAGGGGCTTTGTCCACAATCCCACAATAACAGATCTGTTTGTAACCGGGAGGACAGGTATGGAGCAGTGGGAGTTACTATTTCCCTGGATCCTGGCAGGAAGCTCCCAGGGAGACACACATACCTCCCTTGCACACACTAACACACACACAAATGCAGACACACTCCCAGCCATGTGTGATGCAGCCTACACCAGTCCTATGGTCCAGCCACTGCTCCTGCCTTGTTTCTTCCTCTTCTCAGAGTCTTCTAGGGATAGGGATAGCTGTGCAGTGTGTGGGAGCCCTGGACCTGGCTGCTGCTCATCTTTTCTTTTTCCAACTCCAGGAAAGCTGAGTTGACTCGCCCACCCTAGCTTGGAAAAGAGGCGTTGACTGGTACCAACAAGGTGGACCAGAGTGGGTGTGACCCAACCTCTTGACGCCCAGATGCCTGTGGAAAAGCAGGGTGTGAGGGGCAGGCTGGGGCAACACCCTAGAAACAGTCCTGTGTGAATCCACCCCAGGCAGGTGTGCACACACCCACACACACACAGGCAAGCACGCACACACACATGTGCTGAGGTTGCCCCCAGTCCCTGCACACACCTCCCCAGCCACTCTCACTCCCACACCCACTTCCCACCCAGGTACCCTCTGCCTATCTAGCTGTACATTCTAGGTCCACCCTGTGGGTTTTTTCCCCTCTGCAAGCTGCCGCCTTTAAGCAGACCCACACATGCTCATGTCCATGGTCTCATGCACACCCACAGGCACGAATCCCTCCTCGCAAGCCATATTTGGGGAAGAGAAGAAGCTGCAGGCACCAACATGCATGTGTGCCACCTCCTGAGGAGGCACGCCACCCACACGCCTGCCTGCACACACATGTGCATCCGCACATATTTTGACTCCCCGGGGGCCTCTGTTATTCTCACCAGAGTCTCCAGGCTCAAAGACAGACTTTGAAAACATGTTTGCATCTCACCACACTCTGCCAGCCCGATCCTTCACACGCCAACAGGTTTGCGCACCTACACGGGTCCACCCACGCTTCCCACCTACCCACCCCAGCCTGCTGTGGAGTTGCGTTTCCCCACATGGAAAGTGTCTGCTTGCACACACTCCCTCCACATGTACTCCCACCCACAGGACAAGTGACATGTCCACCCCCTAAATATACTGCCTGGCAGCCCCCCCCTCCCCGCCCACACCTACCCACAGGCTACTCTGAGAAGCACTGCCCCCGCACACACGTACCTCACACGTGCAAAAAAGCTATGTTCCTAGACATGCCAGAAGGCAGCTGCCTCCCCCACCCCACCCCGCGGGAACCTAACTCCACGCAGGCACACCTATCTACGCAAGCAAGCCTCCAGCCTCCCTGCAAGTGTGCACACACTCTAACACGGTGCCCCTTCCTCAGCCCCAGTCAGCAAAGCCACTGGCATGCCACAGGGAAAGCTCCCCCACCCGCTGTCCCCACGGGCACCGCTGACTGCAGCAGAATGGTCACGGGGTAACTAACTGTGTCGCCCCAGGGACTGGATCCATCTGTTAAGCCCTTTGCTAAAGGCTTGGGGAGAGGGGACAAGGTCGTGAGGCCTGGCGACCCAGTTGGGCACCCTGTACAGTGGCAGGTCCTTGGCACCCCCAGCTCTCAACCTCTCATGATAGGTAGCAGGATGGCTGGGGGTGGGGGGCGCTCACCTGGCTTTCCCGGGCTCTGCGGAGGAAGACCCGGCAGGGAGGGAAGGGAGAACCTCTCTGTGGATGAGCTCCCTAGGCAGGGAGACGGCGGCCGGACGCCTGGGTCACAGGCAGCGGCTCGTGCTCGCTCCTCTCCCGGCTGCCGAGGAGGCAGCTTCCATGCCCCTTAGGCAGCTCCTGTCTGGCTCCGCAGCAAACAGCTGCTGCCCTGGCGACGAGATGTTCCCAGCCCAGCTGAGTGCGAGGAGTGCAAGAAGGGAGGCAAGAGCTAAATCCAAGCAGCGTGAGGAGAGAGAGAGGCAGAGAAGGCGAGAAAGAACGAGAGAGCCAGACCGAATCTGGCTCCACCAATGAGATCGGTGGCTGCACCGCGTCAGGTGATAATCAGCAAGCTTGGTCCCTGCTCGCCAGGCTGGTGGGAGGGGGAGAGGGCAGAGGGTCTCCCAGGGAGCTATGCAGATGTCCTTGGAGGCGGCAGCTGTGACTCTGCTACCTTCCCCACATTCCTCCAGGACAACCTGCCCTCAGAAATCCCTCCAGCACACCCTTTACTTGGAAATCTCTGACTTGGATGCAGCCCCCAAACTTTAGGATATCAGGAGAGGGGTGGAGCTTAACCCTTGTTTGGGCCCCCAAACAAGGAAGCTGATTGGGGGAAGAAGAGGGAGGCTATGTAAGGGAAAGGTCCAGATGGGGTGTGCGAGTAGGGGCCCTGTTTCAGTCTGGGTCCCCTCGGGGGCTTTTCACTGATCCGTTTTCTTACCAACTCTTATCAGGAGATATCAGACCTGCAGCGTTGGAGACGCTTGTATGTCCAGTGAGAGTCCTCTAGCTGGTTAGGCGTCCTCCAAGAAAGAAGTTGTAGAGCTGAGAAGGATGCGCAGAAGAAAGAATGTGGGGGTGGGAGGACACACAGAGCTTTGACTGTTCCCATTCCAGCCAGCCCTCCAGCCCTCGGGGCTCAGGCAAGCCAGGAGCACCTCAATCAGACACAATAATATCAGCAGGAAGCTTGTCTGCCACCAAACAACCAGGATCCATGGATGCCACTGGAAGAACGCTCAAGGAAACTAGAATCAAGCAGCGAACAGTGACAAAGTGTGTGCCCTGTTGGAAAGCACGGGCTTTGCAGTCAGACAGAAATGGGGACGAACATGCTCTTTCATTTGTCTTCCACCTGGGTGACCTTGGGTGGGTTACACCACCTCCCTTGGAGCTTCAGTTTCTTCACCTGTCAAGTGGGATACTAACATGGCTTCATTGTGATCATGGGATGAGCTCACTGTGGGAATCGGCTGGCTCTAGGCTTGGCATCATCAGAGATGTTATCTTTCCCATCGTTTTTGGCAGAGTCAGCCTGCGAGGAGCCTGCTGTCTTCCAGGGGAGGAGAGTCGGACATTTAGATGACGCAATTAGAGAACAAGGAGCATACAGTTGGCACTCTGTATCCATCTGCAGATCCAACCAAGGATTGAAAATACATTTTTAAAAATTGCATTTGCTTGGGGAGTTTTGTTTTGCTTTGTTTTTTGCTTTTGAGATAGGATCTTGCTATGTGGTTCAGGCTGGCTCTCTATTCATTATATAGCCCAGGCTGGCCACAAACCCATGACAACCTTTCTCTTGCCTCAGCCTCTGTAGTACTGGGATTATAGTTATGTGCCACGACACTTGGTTTAGAATTGCATTTGAAGGGCTGGGTCTGTATCCCAGTGATTAATGCTTGCCTAGTATGCTTGAAGCCCTGGGTTCAATCATCAGCACTAAAAAAGTGTTTGTACTGAACATGTACAGACATTTTTTCTTGTCACCATTCTCTAAATTGTATAGTATAACTACTACTTACATAGCATTTACATTGTCTTAGGTATTGTAAGTAAGTTGCAGATGATTTAAAGTAATGGGAGACTATTGCAGGTTATACACAAACACTACACTATTTTATGTAAGAGATTTGAGCACCTGTGGATTTTGGTGTCCATGAGGATCCTGGGGCCAATCCTCTGTGCACAGTAGGGATGACGAGAATAAAATTTCCAGGTACAACATGGAAAAGAAATGGGGTGGAGGGAGAGTATGGCCTGGGGACAGCAGATGCCACACAGGCTCAGAGGTGAGGGCTTCAGAGAGCAGAAGGCATGCATTGAGTGTAAGGGACACACACAAAGAGGGACTTGTGGGCTGCAGGCATTGGGAGCCAAGGTTGGAGCAGGCGACAATGAAGAGAGAAGACTTCATGGCTTCCAAAGACAAGCAGAAGTTGATTCTGCCTTAGCTGGGCGTGAGAACCTGAGCAAGCCTGGTCAGATCCTGAACCACAGAATGCGGTGTGGCGTGTTGCAGGAGGATTAAGTGCTTCCTTGGTCAAACACGACCAGGTCCCGCCCTTCACACACCTACGCTGAGATGCTGAAGCTCAGGAGAGTTGGGGAACAGCATCTCCTGGTTATGAGCAGCACCAGCCATCTGGCCTAAAATCCCTATCACCAGGACCAATGTGAGGGGCAGTGAGAACGAAAAGGCAGGGGCTCTGTGACTCAGTTTCCTCTTCTGTGAAAGATACCAAGTCCCGCAGCGTCTCTGTCTCCCACCTCCTCAGGGTGGCACTGGAGGCTGCATGAGATCATGTGCCCTAGCCCTCTGAATGCTCCTTTGTCGGCCATGTGCTGGCACCAGCAGACAGTCAGGTGAGGGCCTGGCCCTTCCCAGGCTTGCGGCTCTGCTTGCTTTAGAATGAGAATGATGGCCCATGGTAAGGGCAAAGCACAGCATGCCAGGCATCGCTAACTCTGTAGGAGAATGAGCAAAAGTCCTACATGATCGCTGTAGAAAGGTAACATTTCATTATAAAAACTAAGAGAATTAAAATAACTTGTTTTCCCACCATTCAGAAACATGGAGATATATATATATATATATATATATATATATATATATATATATATATAATGCTGTTAATAAATCTCATATTTAAAGGAAGACAAAGTAGTGTTTATAGCCTTTTTTCACTTAGAAACACTTTTAGTTCATCACATGGTCTTTCTTATGGTGGTATTTATTTATTTTTTGGTGTTTTTGAGATAGGGTCTTGCTATGTAGTACAGGGTAACCTTGAATTTGTTGCTATCTTCCTGCATCAGCTTCCCAAGTCCTGCAATTACAAGCATGCACCACCATAACTGACATGATGTCATTTTAAATTGCTATCCATGTAGTGTTTCATTATCACTCTTCTTTTTTTTGTACTAGGATCGAACTCATGACTTCGCATTTGCCAGACAGGCACTTGTGCCACTGAGCTAAACCCCCAACCCCTGTCACTCTTTTTAGGATTCAATTCCCTACTCTTCTTTTTTTTTTTTTTTTTTTTTTTGTCTTTTTCCTTTTTATTGGTACCAGGGATCGAACTCACGACTCCCTGCTTGCAAGGCAGGCGCTTATGCCGCTGAGCTAAATCCCCAGCCCCTTCCCTACTCTTCTATAATTCTTTTTTTTTTTGTATGTTAAATAACACTCTAATGAACAACCTTCTAGAAAAATCTCTTTTTCCCTTATATGCTTACAGTAAAAATTAAGGGATATAATGGACCTCAAATATATTTGAGACAGGGTCTCACTATGTAATCCAGGCTGACCTTGAACTCATTATGTAGCCTAGACTGGCCTTGAACGCACAGTGATCATCTTGCCTCAGTCTCCTGAGTACTGGGATTACAGGCATGTGCTACATGCCCAGCTTAATGGACCTTATATGAATATTGATTTAACAAACTATTTAAAAAATTGTTGGGTGTGGTGGCACATATTCCTAGGACATGGGAAGCTGAGGCAGGAGGATTGTGAGTTTGAGGCCAGCCTGGGCTACCTAATGAGTTCAAAGTCAGCTTGGACTATGTCGTGAGACCCTGTCTCAAAAAAGCAAAAACAAAACCAAAACTAAACAAAACCAAATCCAAAAAACTTGGATATTTAATATCTGATCATGATACTGTGGTTATTTTTTAAAAATCTTTATCTTTTGGAGATACAGATTGTAATATTTATGGATAAATGACATTAGATCTTTGACTTGTTTCAAAATAATCTAGAGTGCAGGAGTGGGTGGCAATAGAGATAAAAACAAGAGTGAAAAATAATAATAATTATTATAAAAGCTAGATACTTTGAGATCCAATAAGATATCATTTTTGTGTGTAGTTGAAACTTTCCATATTAGATATTATACCTAAGGTATCTATGACTACAATAATAACAAAGTATTTATTAAGCATCAAGACACAGTGCCAGGCATGCAATTCTTTCAGCAGCCTTGAAAGGTAAAGTTGCCAAAATTACTTTTTTTTTTTTTTGAGACAGGATCTCACTATGTAGTAAACAGTGGACTTGAAGTCACTTATGTAGCTCAAGCTACATAAGTCAAGTCCCTCAGACTCATAGCAATCCTTATGCCTCAGCCCCGGGAGTGCTAGGATTACAGGTATGTGTCACCACAGCTGGCTAAAATCATTTTAAAAAGCAAACACATCTGTAAGCATTTGCTCTAGTAAAGAATAGAATAACAGTTTATTAGCTTTTTAAAAATTTAAATATTTAACTATGTTAAGGCATGGAAATGCTGACTGATGTATTTATGGCCTCTGGAAAGTACTAAGAGAAGAGGCACAAAGGAAACTTCATAAGGGCAAAAGAAACTTCAAGGGAAAAATATGGAGAGCAATGTTGAGAGAACTGTGAGTGAGGAGAGGGAGGAAGAGCACCAAAGTCATGGTACTGGAAGAGTCAGTGAGCAGCGCTGAAGTATGAGGACACAAGGCAGGAAATATGGGACATCACTGAGCACCACACGGCAAGGAACTGGGACGAGGGTTTGACATAATGAGTACAAGTCACTTCGAGGGGAAGGCGTCCCTCTACTTACATGCTATGCAGTGACCACGCTCATTCTATGGAGAGAATTGCTTATAAAAGAACTTGTAGATGAGACATATAAGAACACAATTAAAAAAGACTTCTACTACTAATTATTATTATTATCATCATCATCATTACTCTGTGTGTGTGTGTGTTGCTGGGGATGGAAACCAGGGCCCTTGTGCATGCCCAGCAAGCATGCTACATCTAAATTAAACTTCAGCTTTAAAAACAGCTTTTCATCAGTGGTGCCAGAGTTAAATTACTTCCTGGAAAAAAATCCACCTTTATTTTTCTAATCCAAGTCCAGATTTGCCACTTGGTCTCAACACAAACTGGAATTCATTCATCCATTTAAAAAATTATCAATGTTCACTATATAACAGTGACTTGATCCCAATGATACCATTGGGATCTAAAACATCTTCCCACAGCCTTGTGGTATTGGAGGTTTGGCTGCCATCTGATGACCTCTGAGACCTCAGAATGGATCATGAGAAATGTAATTTCATCTGGTGGATTAATTCATTGTAGAGCATCACTAACCAGCTTATGGGGAAGTAGCACCTAACTGGATGAAGTAGGCCCTCGTGGCGAGCTTTTGAAGGGTATATCTAGTCCCTGGCCCCTCCT